ATCTTACAATTCCTATTCAATAGCTAATCTTAACACCATCAACCTGATCACACAACTTCCCTATAAATTCAAGTGTAAGTAATGCCCAAACATGATACGAACACATTTACAGCCTCTCAGGTGTTTTATAAAAATAGATTGAGATGATCATATTTTAATTATTCCTTTGTCTTTACGAAAACTTTCAATTACAGTAACTGTTTTTCTTCTTCTTTATTACTTGATTTCTGTCACGTGAACTCCTTCTTTAAAAAAAGTGCATTTTCGTTCTCCAGGTTTTCGTACTGTTCCTATGCCACAGTTTTAAGGGACAAACAAGAGATAGTGCTTGGCCTGGAACCTGGTGAGTGTATACTTCCAGATACCTGATTGAAAATCGGAAGGAACATAGCCAAGCCTTCTATCAGCGGACATTTCACCACGAGCGGTAGGAGAAAAAAAAAACATCCTTGCGATCATTGAACTACAATGGAACTACATTATTACGTAAAGTTCATATTAAACTAAGAATATTTATTGGATGTTTTCACATTACTTATCTGAACATTGTAAGAGTATGATACATCGATAGCAGCATCGCCGCTAAGTCTAGTTTCACGTGTTCTTGTCACTGACGTTACATGATAAGTGTTAAGTACTGGAGAAAGGGGGAGCGTTGAAAAAGTGTATTGATAATTCATAATGTGAAATGCTTATCATTATTACTGTATACTGATGGTTAATCGTATTTTACAAGTACTATGACCCCTTGCTGATCTTGGAACTACTGACTTCATCGTCGATCCTGCTCTTTCTGATGACCACGCACTATTCTGACACTTTAGTTTCGGCTGTAACGAGGTCAGTCTTGGACCACACATCTTGAGAAACTTTAAGTGGAACACCGATTTCCAAGACAAAGCTTAAACAGACGAAAGGCACAAGAAATGCATTGGATCTGCATTATAAGAATTGAATAGAAGCGTGGCTAAAAAAAAGAGATTAGTTAGGCTTCACTTTCTTCGTTAATATTTTTTCATGAAAGACGTTTACTTCAACGTGTGCTGGAATAGTCACCAACTTCAAGTCTTTGTTTATTATATTGCTAACCAGAAGATACGTCCAGCTTCATCACAATGAATTTTGGGGTCGAAGGGCTCACCATAGTAATATTCTGTTCTTTCGCTTTCCATCACTTAACGTCCATGCTATAGAAATGTGCCGTGACAAATTTCTCTAGTCATAAGTCTAACTTTGTGGCATTACAGTGTCGGATGGTCGCCATTTGTCGTGACTCCAATATATAGATGCTAAGTTTGTATTCCAAGATTCTCCTCTACGTATACAACTTACAATTTCTTTCAGTTCGACCAGAACAGGAGGTGAAGTTATTTTATTCTACCAATAATGTAACCAACTTTTGGTTATTGGAAGATTGTAGAAAACAGGGAGATTTAAAGACCAGATCTATTTATTTATAGTGTGTCTTGTCATATTTCCAGAAGTATAACAATATCTGTGGAATGTGAAATATGCGACATGAAATACAACTATTCTAATGAGTGGCAGTTTTTTCATAGTCAAAATGTTGGTATAAATATCATGAAAGTTGATCTGTGTTATTTATTATAACAATAATTATATTTAAACATTTTAAATATACCTTTGAAAATGGTAGGTCAGCAAGCCAAAATGGGTTTTGCCATTAATTTTAGATGTGAGGAGAAAATGTAGGGTTCGATATCTTTGTCCTAAAGTGTACCTCTGTGTGTGTGTGATCCATTTCTTCAGAATTAAAGGGTCTAGAATATTCTAAAAAATCCACAATAATTCAATTTATCGTCTCCAGTAATAAAATATTATGTCTTTGAATTGAAATATGCATCGAATTTATATGTTAACAATATCGAATTTATATGTTAACAATATTTATTATAGTTCCCCATCGAGCTAATATATCAAACCGATTTACTTTAAGAAGGAAAACAAACATAAATAAATATACATTAAACCAATCTCTAGTGAATTTCAATGAAGTAAATGCTCAACAACGAATAGAAAAATATATTGGATTCTCAGAATTATTGTTTTAGTGAAAATGCAACTTCCTATCCAGGAGCTTGATGGTGTTCAATATTACTGATCACACAACTTCCTATTCAGTAGCTAATATTGAACACCATCAAGCTGATCACACAACTTCCTATTCAGTAGCTAATATTGAACACCATCAAGCTGATCATACAACTTCCTATTCAGGAGTTAATATTGAACACCATCAAGCTGATCATACAACTTCCTATTCAATAGCTAATCTTAAACACCATCAACCTGATCACACAACTTCCTATTCAGCAGCTAATCTGGAACACTAACAACCTGATCATACAACTTCCTATTCAATAGCTAATCTTGAACACTATCAACCTGATCATACAACTTCCCATTCAATAGCTAATCCTGAACACCATCAACCTGATCATACAACTTCCCATTCAATAGCTAATCTTGAACACCATCAATCTGATCATACAATTTCCTATCCAGGAGTTAATTTTAAACACCATCAACCTGATCACACAACTTCCTATTCAGTAGCTAATATTGAACACCATCAACCTGATCATACAACTTCCTATCCAGGAGCTAATCTTGAACACCATCAACCTGACCATACAACTTCCTATTCAATAGCTAATCTTGAACACCATCAACCTGATCATACAACTTCCTATTCAATAGCTAATCTTGAGCACCATCAACCTGATCATACAACTTCATATTCAATAGCTAGTCTTGAACACCATCAACCTGAT